CTAATAATACAGCTGGATTTATCTGAATTCGCATGAATGATGAAGATGGCACAGTTTGTCTGCCTAACTAATTTAAAGCCCAGAAAGTTATCAATATGTTGCTTTTGATGGATATGGTAATAGGGCATTACACCCCTACTTGCTATGCATTCCCACCACATTGTTGGAAGAGGGAATTTGAAACAAATGAGGGACGAACTTTGTTTGACTTTGCCTGAGTATAGATTTAACAATTGAATATAGCAACATAGCTTACGCTCATTTATTTGCTATATACAAAAGGTTCTTAAATCCCGGTTTTAATATGGTAGATGCCTTTAGGATTTTTTTTTTTTTTTATTGAAGTCTTTGAAATGTTTTTGTCCCTAGGTGAACGGCTGTTTCCTCTCATTCAAGCAATGCACCCTACTCTTGCTGGTAAAATCACTGGCATGTTGTTGGAGATCGATAATTCAGAACTTCTTCATATGCTTGAGTCTCCAGAGTCTCTCCGTTCTAAAGTAATTTAAATTTGTCATTTATCTAACAACTTAGACTACGAATATTTTTAGGGCTTTTTGTAGGAGCTTAATTTCATAGAACATTATTAAGTGCTATATACAGGATGGGCAAAAGTAGGTTTACAGTTGTAAGTACGTGAAACAGATCATTCTACAAACCGTGAACTATTCTAAGAGTTCTACAAGTAGTAATTGTAAGTTCTGATAATAACGTGTGCTGCTGCTGTTCCCATTTTATAAATTGGGAAACAAGCATAGAGACGTTAAATAATTCCCCAATGCTCACAAAGCTAGAAGTGCCAAGCGTGGTTTCAAATCAGTCAGTTTAACTCTAGTATCCATGCTCTCCTAGCTGCTACTTCTTTACTGGAAAAAGATAGTGATATTTGCTAATATTTTTCAACTTTGGAGGATTTTTGGTGAGAGTAAGTACAAGAGAGTTCATAATTCTGGAATAGTGGTGGAATGGAACTCAAAAAGATAAGGATAATAGTTGGAATGTTTTTTGGAACTCTTAGTTCTTTCCACTTGACCTTTGATGACATTTGTGTATGGTCAAGTTGAGATTCTTTTAGTTATTCCTTTTCAGAGCCAGTTTGTTCTCCTTTTTTAGGTTGATGAAGCTGTAGCCGTACTACAAGCCCACCAAGCTAAAGAGGCTGCCCAGAAAGCAGTTAACAGTGCCACCGGTGTTCCAACTGTTTAAAGTGAGCTTCCCCGCATGGTTGTTTTAGCTTGTTTCCTCAATCTTTTATAATAGTTTGAGCATATTTTGAAACATGGCAAAAATTATTTTACCATTAAGTCCAAATATATTGATAGTTTTTCAGAGAAATGGAAATGTAAGAATTAAATGTTACTTGTTACCCTGATATTAACTTGGATTTTCAAAATCAAAGCATTTAAACATTTTATATAGTGAGTTTTGTTAAATGGCCTTTAACAGGGGTTGGCCCTTTGTGTACTTTATTCTCAGGGCCTTCCTAGCTTATGCTTTTTCTTGGGTGGCAGTAGTAACAGTTGCCCTTAGGCCTCTACTATTGCCTTTTATTACTCCCAAGAAATAGTATTATAATGTAGCTGTTCAGCCAGGACCAGAGATTGGAAAAGCTTTTCTGAAAAGGACCAGATAGGAAACATTTTGGGCTTTGTGGGCCTTGTGTTTGTTGGCAGAAACAACCCTGTTGCAGTATGAAAGCAGTCATAGACAATATGTAAACAAATGAGTGTGGTTGACTGAATTTGGTACACAGCTTTAATTTGCTACTGACAAGTACTAGTATTGGTCTTATCTTCCTTGTTTTGTTGGCTTGGTTTTATTGCAGTATATTGGATATATAATGGGGAAATTTAAGGCACGCCACACACCGTTAATTGGACACGTGTCTATATTGTGACATGATGGCCACTGGAGCGGTGGTTAGTGCCTCCATCACTTTATGTAATGATCTTGTTTTTTTTAGTGGTTGGAATAATTAAGATCTAGTCTCAGAGCAAGTTTTATGATTATAATCTTTTTTCCCCCCCATGTTTACAGATTGATCAGGGACCATGAAAAGAAACTCGTGCTTCACCGAAGAAAAATATCTAAACATCGAAAAACAATATTACGGAAAAAAAAAACATTGCAAAATATAAAATAAATAAAAAAAGGAAAGGAAACTTTGGACCTTATGTACCGAGCAAATGCCAGGTCTAGCAAAAATAATGCTAGTCCTAGATTACTTATTGATTTAAAAACAAAAACAAAAAAAAAACACAAAAAAATAGTAAAATATAAAAACAAATTAATGTTTTATAGACCCTGGGAAAAAGAATTTTCAGCAAAGTACAAAAATTTAAAGCATTCCTTTCTTTAATTTTGTAATTCTTTACTGTGGAATAGCTCAGAATGTCACTTCTGTTTTAAATAACAGAATTGATAACTGAGCAAGGAAACGTAATTTGGATTATAAAATACTTGCTTTAATAAAAATTCCTTAAACAGTAAACAGTGATGTTATGCTATTTTATTTCACTTGGCTTGTGTAAGTAGGCGATAAGTTGGAATTAGCTTAAGAACCTCTTGTGACAAAGGTATAGTTTAAATGATCTTAACATTTCTATTTTTTGAGATGACAGTTTGACTATTAAGGTTTCTAGGCTGAGAGATAACTTAAGCCTTCATTTATATGGTGGAGGACAAGTAAACAGTTACTCTGTATAGAGGAGTGTTTTGGGTATGGTTTTTATATTAAATGTCAACAAGGATTCATTTTTTAGCCTTATTTTTTAGTGGCCTCCTGCATATCCCCTACTGGGGATCGAACCCACAACCCGGGCACATGTCCTTGACCGGAATTGAACCATGACACCTGATTCATAGGTTAACGTTCAACCACTGAGCCACACCAGTCAGGCTAGAGAATGGGTTTTAGAAGATGTGGGCTAAGGCCCAAGACATCTGTGAAACAAATTCCCCTGGCAATTTAAATGTACTTTTGAGAATGGTTTTAATACCAGCTCTTATGCCTTTGGGAGCAAATAAATAAATCCAAATAAAACCATTCCTATATCAGCCCTCTCTGCATGATGAAGCCTTACAATGCTCTGTGTCTGGAATGCTTTTCATTTGGCTTCCTGTTTTGAAACAATAAAAAACCCCACCTCTATCCCATGGTTTAAATCTGTACCCCCTCCCCCCATAGACCTTCTAATGACTATTTTGTCTAACCATACACTTAACCCTCTAACGCGCTTGACAGTTTAGGTAGAGAAACATATATCCTATTTTTCAAAATTTGAGAAAATGGTTCAAGCTTTGAGGTTTTAAAGGAGCAGACTTTAGTTTGAGACACTTTAGAAGTCATATCTATAAACTTCCCACAGTTGAAGTTTAAAACTATTCTAAAATCTAGAGTTGCAGATACGAGTTTACAGACAGTAGCTTTATATGGTTTTATGTGCTGCAGATACACCATCCATCTGTTCTGCAAATACCTTCATTTTCTAGTGAAGCAAACTTCTGCTTAGTTTGGAGCCAACAAAAGTTTGTGATCTGGCAGGAATTGATTTAGGAAAAAACTTGCACTCCATTACTCCATTCTCATTGTTTGATTCTGTGTTTGCAAATTCATCTCACAAAAATATGGCTGCTTCTATTGGAAGTTTTAAGACTAAATTGATAGGTGACATTTATTTGTGGGTACTAGATGTAGACTGGTTAATTGAAATTGCTTTTTTAGCCTTGAAGTTTTTCTCCTTTTCTGCATTTATACTGAGACGTGCTTGGGTAGTGCTTGGGTAAGATCAGCTAAAGGAATGTATCTTGTTTACAGTATTCTGTCAATAATTATACAAGTCATGTACTGCTTAACAATGGGGATACATTCTGAGAAAATACATCATCAGGCAATGCCTTCCTTATGTGAACATCATAGAATGTATTTAACACAAACCTAGATGGCACTTCTATAGGACTGGCATCCCGGTGGGTTTGTTTATACCAGCATCACAAAGACATGAGTAACTTGTGCTTGGATTAGGATGGCTATGACATCACTAGGCAGTAGGAAGTTTTCAGCTCCATTATAATCTTACCAGAGGCCCAGTGCACAGATTCGTGCACCGGTGGGGTCCCTCAGCCTGGCCTACGGGGATTGGGCAGAAATTAGCTCTCTGACAACCCCCAAGGGGTCCCAAATTGTGAGAGGGTGGTTCTCTGGTGACGCAGCACCCTGGAATCAGCTCCCTCTCCGGCTCTGGGTTATGTCACTCGAGAACCGCTACTGCAGCTCAGCAGCTCCTGCTTTAAGTGTCTGCCCCTTGGTGGTCGGTGCGTGTCATAGCTACTGGCCAGCTGGTTGCTTAGGCTTTTACATATATAAATGGGACCACTATCGTATACATGGAATCTGTTAATGACTAAAATGTCATTCAGTATATGACTGTACTTTGCCTCCCACCAAACTATAGGCATGTGGCTGGCTTAACAATGGGCATACATGTTGGGGATGAGAAATGCATCAATAGCAATTTGTCTGTGTGTGAACATGGTGTGCACTATACGAACCTAGATGGTATAGCCCACTACACACATGGCTACATGGTGTAACCTGGTGCTCCTAGGCTGCAACCCGCACAGGATAGTACTGCACTGAACACTGTAGGCTGTGGTAACAATGGTATTTGTGTATCCAAACAGAAAAGGTCCAGTGAAATAGGGCATAAAAGATAAGATGGAATACCTGTACAGGGCACTTAATCATAAATGGAGCTTGCAGGGCTGGAAGTTGCTCTGGGTGAGTCAGTGAGTGCTTAGTGAATGGAAGGCCTAGGACAGCGGTTCTCAACCTGTGGGTCGCGACCCCTTGGGGGTTGAACGACCCTTTCACAGGGGTCACCTAAGACCATCAGAAAACACATAATTACATATTTTTGTGATTAATCACTATTCTTTATGTTGAGTTTGTAACAATGAAAATACATCCATATCAGATATTTCCATTACAATTCATAACAGTGGCAAAATTACAGTTAAGAAGTAGCAACAAAAATAATTTTATGGTTGGGGGTCACCACAACATGAACTACTAAAGGGTCGCGGCATTAGGAAGATTGAGAACCACTGGCCTAGGACATTACAGTAGACTGACAACACTTGGGCTACATGAAATTTATAAACTTTTTTCATAATTAAATTTAGCTTACTGTAACTTTTTACCTTTGTCTTAATTTTTTGAATCTTTTATAATAACACTAAGCTTAAAACACTTTTTGTACATCTGTACAGAAATGTTTTCTTTATATTCTTATTCAGTACACATTTTTCCTACTAAAATTAAAAAAAAATTTTTAGACTTTGTTAAAAATTAAGACATAAACACAATTAGCCCAGGCCCATAGGGTCATCAGTATCACTGCCTTCTACCTCCGTATCTTGTTCCACTGGAAGGTCTACAGGGGGGCAATAACATACATGGAGCTCTCATCTATGACAACAGTGCCTCCTGAAAACTTCCTGGAGGACCTGCCTTAAGGCTATTTCTGAAGCTGTTACTCTTCAAAAATTTGACCATTGTGGTTTGCTGGGCTTGTTTTTCTATTGTAAGTATTCTTGTAAGCACGCTGTACATCATGAACATTCCTCTTTATTGATGAAAACCTATTCGGTGTTGGGGTCCATGTTTTCAAACTTTTTTAGGACCTTACTGAGATCTACAAAAGCTGCTATTCCCTTTACTGAGTTTTCTTGGGGGGTTCTTGTTCTGCAGTTTCCTTTTTCCTCTTCAGCTATGTGTTCCTATTGCAGCCCTAACAACTCATTAGTCAATTCCTCAGGAACCACTAGCAGCAGTGTCCTCACCCAAACCCAGTTAGAGTTGCTTGCCATTTCAACCACAGCCTTTTTCTTTTTTTTTTAAGTGTTTTCTTTTTGTTGTTTTTTTGTTTTGTTTTTTTATTTTTACTGATTTCAGAGAGGGAGAAGGAGAGAAACATGAACAATCAGAATCATTGATCAGCTGCCTCCTGCATGCCCCATACTGGGAATCAAGCCCCTAACCCAGGCATGTGCCCTTGAACGGAATCAAACCCGGGACCCTTCAGCCCGCAGGCCAACACTGTCCACTGAGCCAAACCGGCCAGGGCTCAACCACAGCCTTGTTGATTTTTGCAACCTCATCCTCAACTCCTTTGAAGTCATAGACTGACCTTTTAAGTGTCCCAGATGACAGTTAAACACTTCCTAGTGACATCACCCCAGCCTAAGCAAGGTTCTCAATGCAGTCAGATGTAATCCTTTTCAGAATTGCATCACCAATAAAAGATTTCCCAGGAGCTTTATCAACAATAAGCAAAACCTTGAAATATATGTTACTCTCCGAACAGTACTTGATTTTGCTTAGCAGAGCAATTCAGAAGGGCATCTTGGAAGAGGAGCTGGGTCATCCATTACTTTATTGCTTCTGTAATACACTGGCAATGTGTGTTTGTTGATATGCCTGAAGGCCCTGGAGTTGCCACTGTGCCAGAACACAAAGGGTTTACATTTGTAACCTGCAACACTGCCCCCAAGCAAGATTGTTATTCTGTCCTTTAAAAGCCTTGAAAACAAAAGTAAAATGACTCAGGGCTACGAAGGTAGAAGGTGGAAAATCAGTGGCAGTTATTCCTCCCCTCGTGGATGAAAGTCCTTTTAGGCATCCATTTCCAGAATAGAGAGTTTTCATCTATATTGAATATTTGCTCTGCCAAGTAATTTTCCACAGTCAGCTTCTCTAGAGTTTACAATTTTTTTTTCTGCTGCCTTCACATCGACACTGGCAGATTCACCACTTTTGCATTATGTAATGAATAACAATTCTCGAATTGTTTACCCGGAGATAGCAGTAAATTTAACATCATAGTCTGGTCTAACCTTTTATTTCAACATTGCAAACAGGTTTTGTTTTTTGCCATGATCATCATGGCTGAGAAGGATATGCTTTTGTGTCTGGTCTTCTGTCAGGTCATTGCAAGTTTCTCCATGTCTCATGTAGGCCCTTCTTGAATTTTTGTTAGTCTCTGTGCCTTCAAGAAGCAGGTCCTTGCCCTAACCGGTTTGGCTCAGTGGATAGAGCGTCGGCCTGCGGACTGAAGGGTCCCAGGTTCAATTCCGGTCAAGGGCATGTACCTTGGTTGCAGGCACATCCCCAGTAGGGGGTGTGTAGGAGGCAGCTGATTGATGTTTCTTACTCTCTATTCCTCTCTCTTCCTCTCTAAAAAATCAATAAAATATGTTTAATAATAATTTTTAAAAAGCAGGTCCTTTAACAGTTTCCACCACTTCGTTCTTTTTCTTCAAGATCGTTACTAAGGTGGAATGGGACTTGCTTGGCAGGAGAGAGATAACCATGACTGATTTTCTACCTTCGTAGTCCTTAATCACTACTTTTGTTTTCAGGTCATTCACTAGACATGCCCTCTTACTGGCAACATTATTAGTAAATCTTGTACACTAAGGGGCCATGATGAAGAAAACATGAGACTGAATCATTTTGTGCTTGATTTCATCAAGAGACATGGTAAACAAGATGTATGAGGCTGCTGCTGACATAATGGCATATAGTTTTACAGCAAACTTTTTAATAGACTATACTCTAATTATATAGCATAGTAAATACTCGGACCAGTAATATTATCAAGTGTTAATGTACTGTATAATTGTATGTGCCATACTTTTATGACTGGCATCATAAGTGTTTACACCAGCATTACCACAAACACATTAGTAATGCATTATGTTGTGATGTTGCAATGTCTATGATGTCACTAGTGGTAGGAATTTTTCAGCTTCATTATAATCTTATGGAACCACTGTTGTATATGGGGTCTGTATGCAGCCCATGACAGTAGTCGATTACAGGTGACATTTTAGAGCAGCAGTTGCCAACTGGTGGTTCGTGGACCACTGGTGGTCTGTGAGGTCCGAAAGGTTGGCGACCGCTATTTTAGAGAATACTTTGAAACTTGTTTTTTTGATGTAAAATCATGGCCCCTGATTATGCATTTGCAATGAGTAAATGACTTTGAAGAGGACCTGGATGCTTGTGTTTAATGAGTACATTCTATTCATGAGTCCCCTCTTACCCACAGGGGGATATGTTACAATACCATCAGTGGATTCCTGAAACCATGGATAACATCGAATTTTCATATTTTCACTTAAAGGAAGCACTTTACAGCTTCCTTTTGGCATATCCTAATTGCCAGCATTACTACTCTTGTGCTTTGGGACCATTATTAAGTAAAATAAGAGTTCCTTGACACAAGCACAGTGATACTGTGACAGTCAATTTGATAACAGATGGCTATTAACGAGAAAGCGGGAAGACACTAGATAAAGGGTTGACTCCGCCTAAGCAGGACAGCATGAGATTTCATCACACTACTCAGAATGGCACACAATTTTAAAGATGAATTGCTTATTTCTCTTTGGAATTTTTCATTTAATATTTTCAGACTGGTTGACTGCAGGTAACTGAAACCATGGAAAGGGGCACTGCAGATAAGGGGGACTACAGTAAAACAGTTCTCAAGGAAACAAGTAAAATCAGAAGTTGGATTCAAGCTGGAAGCAAAATGGGTGGAACTGGTCAATCCACTAGCCAATACCACCAAGCACGATAGTCTGGTGCACTGCTGTGCTAGGAAACCACACCGTCATGAAGACATCCTGGAGTCTGCCAATGAGGACAGGTACACCTTTGGATAAGGCCAAAGCTACATTAATGAATTCCTGTCTCAATCTAGACTTCATACTGACTCACTTTCTTCTATAAAGTTCGACAATCTCATTGGTTAGATTTAATGGTTCTTAGTTACCACTCAGATCTTCTCAATCACCTTGTTTCAAGTGTACATACATACATGGCAAGAATTTAAAGGGTAAGCCAATTTCAAATTTTAGGTGGTGTCTTATTCAGCTTTTTATCTGTCCATCATAATCATGGCAAGTTGGGGGGGGGGTGGTGGGGGAGGCAGGAAAGATGGTCTTATCCACAAAGGTAGAAAAACATGTAATTTACTTATTGATTTTGTTATAATAATATTCTCAGAAAATTTGAAACATGGGATATTCATTGGCCTAAACATTTTTTTTTCTGTAAAGGAAAGGCTCTTCACATTAGAAGTAAAAATATTTGTATTTTTAAAAGATCCCATTAAGTTATATACTAACCATTGATAAGGTATATATGAGCAGAGGGATTTATGGTTGGTGATAGAGTTTTGTTTTTACTTATCACCCCCACCCCCCAAGTGAAAAAGTCATGGTACTTGAAATATTTTATGATTATTTTCAAATTGCCAAGTGCATGTGCCAGTCTGACATACAAAAGTACTTTATCAGTTCAAGTAGTTTTTTCCCCCTGTTTATTGAATGCATTGGGGTGATAAACAAAATTATACATGTTTCAAGTGCACAATTCCACAACCCATCATCTGTCTCTATGTTGTGTGTTTACCACCCCAAGCCAAATCTCCTTCCATCACCATTTATCTCCCTATGCCTTTCACCTCTCCCCCCAGCTCAGTCCCCAAATGTTAATATTTTGCAAACATTGAAATTAATGTAAGACATTTTGACTAATTTCTAAAGTAACAGCATAAAAGTTATAATTTGTTGAATAGATCTAATGTTTAATCACAAGTGTTGGTGACTATTATTTACAATACAAATTATGATGCACTAATAATTTGGTGGCACCTTAACAATGGTCCACAATGGAAATTGTGAAGTAAGCATCTGAGGAACAAAGCTCATGTTTACTAGAAAGAGACACAGCACAGATGCACCTGTATAGAGCAGTGATTCTTAAGGTGGGGGCATGTGTTGTTTTAAAAATCACAGAATCTTCCCCCCCACAATGACAAAAAGCCTGTATTTGAATCAATAGTTGTAAATGCTAATATTGACCATGTACTACATGTTTACTTGTCATGAACTATATAATCACCCTATGAGATTGGTTCAATGATCTAGTCAACAAGTGTAGTGACTTGCCCCAAATCACATAGTAAGTGGTGGTGAAGATGGTATTTGAATCCAGACCTACAAGCGCTACATTTCAGGCTCTTAGGTTCTATGTAACATACTCTGCCTGTATACTACAAGAAGAAAAAAGTGAAGTCCCATGAAATCTCAGGTACATGGGCTACCTTCAGTCCTGGGGGGTGGGAGGTGGAATGACAGGTATTTAAAAGCATACAATAGTTAAGTCAAAACATAAAAATGCCTTTCTGTTGTAACATTTTATGGCAGTCAAAATCTAAGAGAAAGTCATTCTTTAGAAGAAAAAGGAGGTCTTTAACCAGGCTAAGCTTAAAATTCTAAATCGGAATATTTTCTGAGTGACTCCAATCCTATCCTGAGACACCTTTGTTGCAGGGGCAGTCCACCAACAAGGAACGACATTTCACGGACAAGCTATATTGACATTCAAGAGCAAGGCTCCTGGCTCTGAGTTCAAGATGGCAGAGTAGGAAGATCCTGAGTTCACCTCCTCTCATTGACACCAAAACTACAACTATATATAGAACAGCTCTCTGAGAATGACCTGAAGACTAGCAGAGCAGATTTTCTACAGCTATGGATATAAAGGAAAAGCCACATTGAAACAGGTAGGAGGGGTAGAGACTAAGTCTAGTCAGGACCTACCCTACCCCCACTCCCCATGGGGTGACTCACAAGTGGGAGGGATATCACAAATGTGGAGTTTGTCTCCAAAGAGAGAGGGGTCTGAGCCCTAGCCTGGGGGACCTGAACCAGGAAGGGGGGCCCCCATAACATCTGGCTTTCAAAACCAGCAGGGCTTACATCTGGGAGAGCCAAAAGGCTGTAGGTTACGCTCTTTGAGTCCCAGCACAGAGCAGTTTGAAAATTTCCTAGGTCATATGTGACATTGACTAATTTTAGAATGTGTACTAAAAGGACAGGGCTCTGTTGGAACTTTCTCCTAAGGCAGAGATGCTGGCAAGCACCCTTTCTCTAACCTAGCAGGTGCCATTTCTAACTCTCCATTAACCTTGCTAGCACTGTTCACCCCACCCTGGCATTTCCCTGAGGACCCACCCAAGCTAGCACCCCTCCAAAGCAGCTCCTGCGCTGCCACACTAGTGGGTGGCAGCCTCTGTCAGCACCAGCACACAGCACACAGCAGTGTATCTGCAACAGCATGGTCAGGCCTCTCAGCCAGCCACACTGAAGGCTTGTCCTGCACACCAGTGAGGGGCCAGGCCTTACAGCCAGTGGGCCAGGGATCAGCCTCACCTGTCAGTGTGCGTCCATAGAAGTTGTGGCCCAGCCACAACAGGAGGCCACACTAGTCCACCTGGGAATACCTCTGGAGCACTTGGCTCTGGTGACAAGGGTTATTCCACCACTGGGCCCCACAGGACACCTTCTAAATAAGGCCACTTTTTCAAGACCAGAAGATTTAGCTGACCTACCTAATACATAGAAAACAAAGAGGCAAAATGAGGAGAGGAAACAATATGTTTCAATCAAATCAGCAAATAAACAGGATAAAACCCCAGAAAAAGAACTAAATGAAACTGAGGTAAGCTGTCTACTAGATGAAGAGTTCAAAGTAATAGTCATAAAGATGCTCATCAAATTCTACAGACATGTGGACAAACTGTGTTAACGTCAACAGAGATAAAAATGTTTTTTGTGTGTTTTTTTTAAAGGACTTATCAGAACTTAAGAATAAGAATATAACAACTGAAATGAAAAATACACCAGAGGGAATCAATAGCAGATCAGTGATTTCTACTATTCTGTCTTCCTGATGGATAGCAATCAGGAAGACAGGATAGTGGAAATCACCCAATTGGAAGGTCAAAAAGAAAAAGAATGAGGATAGCATAAGGGACCTTTGGGACAACATTAAGTGCATTAATATTTGATTCATGGGGGTCCCAGAAGAAGAGAGAAAGGGACAGAAAACCAATATGAGAAAATAATGGCTGAAAACTTCCCTATCTAGGGAAGGAAATAGATATCCATGTCCAGGAAGTGGAGAGAGTCCCAAACAAGATGAATCCAAAGAGACACACCAAGGAAGATTATAATTAAATTTTTAAAAGTTAAAGAGAGAATCTAACAGTAGCAAGAGAAAAACAACTAGTTACATAAAAGGGAATGCCCATAAGACTATCAGCTGACTTTTCAACAGAAACTCTTCAGTCCAGAGGGGAGTGGCATGATATGGTCAACATGATCAAAGGGATAAAACCTACAACCAAGGATACCCAACAAGGTTATCAGAATTAAAGGAGAGATCAAGATTTTCTCAGACAAGCAAAAGGTAAAGGAGTTCATTATCACTAAACTGGCATTACAAGAAATGTTAAAAGGAATTCTTTAAGTGGAAAAAAAAAAGGCAAAAACTAGAAATAAATATATGGGGAGCTGTAGCTGATTTGGCTCAGTGTATAGAGCGTCGGCCTGCGGACTGAAGGGTCCCAGGTTTGATTCCAGTCAAGGACACATGCCAGGGTTGCAGACTCGACCCCCAGTAGGGGGCGTGCAGGAGGCAGCCAATCAATGATTCTCATCATTGATGTTTCTAACTCTCTCTCCCTCTCCCTTCCGCTCTGAAAATCAATAAAGATATATTAAAAATATATATATGGTGGAAAAATGTCACTAGTAAAGGCAAACATATTTAGAATATCCCCCCAAAAATGTATACATACACTTTGAATAATTATAAAGGCAACATTTTAAAATACAGTTCATTTTCAAAATTGAGATACCAGCTGTTAAAGTGTGTATACATTTTTTGGGGACACCCTATATTAAAGAAAGTAGACCAACCACTTATAAATCTAGTAGGAAAACAATTAAAATTGTGAGTGTGGAAGGATGGAAGGAGGGGAGAGAGAAACATCAGTGTGAGACACACCGATTGGTTGCCTCTCACATGGGCCCCGACAGGCCCAGGATTGAGCATGCAACTGAGGTATGTGCCCTTGGCTGGAAATCAAACCCAAAACCTTTTGGTTCATGGGTCGATGTTCTAACCACTGAACCAAATCGGCCAGGGCTCACTAATTACTTTAAATGTTAATTGACTAAGTGCTCCCTTAGAAAACAGGGCAACTGAATGGATAAAAAAACAAGACCCATACATATGCTGCCTACATGAGACTCCAAATTAAAATATACACACAGACTGAAAATAAAGGGATGGAAAAGATATTTCATGAAAATAAAAAAGAAGCTGGAATAGCAATACTTATATCAGACAACATAGACTTTAAAACAAAGGCTATAACAAGAGACAAAGAAGGACCCAGTAATTCCACTTTGGGCACTTATCTGAAGAAAATGAAACAATAATTTTAAAAGATATACGCACCCTTATGTTCACTGCAGCATTATTTACAATATCCAAGATATGGAAGCAACCTAGGTGTTCACCAATAAATGAATGGATAAGGAAGGACACACATACACGAGTATTACTCAGCCAGGAAAAAGAATGAAATTTTGCCATTTATGACAACATGGATAGACCTGGAGGGTATTATGCTAAGTAATATAAATCAGAGAAAGATAAATACTGTATTTCACTTTTTTATGAATGGGATTTTAAAAAACTAAACAAGTGACAAATAAAACAAATAGACTCAGAGATATAGAAAAACCAATAGTTGCCAGAGGGTTGGGCGGTGGGGTTGTGGATGACATCCCTTTATGAGTATTGAAGGAACATACCTCAACATAAGGCCATATATGACACGGTCACAGCTAACTTCATACTCAATAGTGGGAAATGGAAAACTTTTTCTCTAAGATCAAAAACACTCAAGTTGCCGAAACCGGTTTGGCTCAGTGGATAGAGCATCGGCCTGCGGATTGAAGGGTCTCAGGTTCGATTCCGGTCGGGGGCATGTGCCTGGGTTGCGGGCATATCCCCAGTAGGAGATGTGCAGGAAGCAGCTGATCGATGTTTCTCTCTCATCGATGTTTCTGACTCTCTGTCTCTCTCCCTTCCTCTCTGTAAAAAATCAATAAAAAATATATTAAAAAAAAAAACACTCAAGTAGCAGATACAAAATTAACCTACAGAAATCAGTTGTATTTCTGTATTAATAATGCAACATCTGAAAAAATAAAACTATCCCATTCATAATGAAAACAAAAACCTAGGACTAAGACTATATAACAAAAACTAAGACTTTTTATAAAAAAAATTGAAGAAGACACAGACATTCTGTGTTCATGGATCAGAAGAATTAATATTATTAAAATGTTTTTTATTACCCAAAGCTATCTACAGATTCAATCCCTATCAAAATTCCAATGGCATTCTTCACAGAAATAGGAAAAAAAATCCTAAAATGTCTATGGAACTACAAAAGACAATAGCCAAAGCAATCCTGAGGAAGAACAAATTGGAGGCATCACACTTGCTGATTTCAAACTGTAGTTGACCCTTAAACACCCGCAGAGGTTAGGGGTGCAGAGTAAAAACTTCATATAGCGGCCCTCTGCACTCACTGATTCCCAATTGTGGATTCAAATACAGCCGATGCTCGGCTGGTGTGGGTCAGTTGGTTGAGTGCCATCCAGTGCACCAGGAGGTTGTCCATTTGATTCCTGGTCAGGGCACATGCATGGGTTGGGAGCTTGATCCCCTATAGGGTGTGCAGGGGGTGGCTGATGGATGTTTCTCTCTCATCATTTTTTCTATCTCTCTCTCTCCCTCTCTCTAAAATCAATAAAAACATATATTATAACACACAGTTGATTTTTAAAGTCTGTGTATAAGAGGACCCTTGTAGTTCAAGACCACTTTGTTCAAGGGTTAACTGTGTACTACAAAGCTACAGTAATTAAAACAGTGTGGTCTTGCATAAAAATAGACACGTAGACCAACAGAATGGACTAGAGAGCCTGCATATACAGTCAACGAATATTTAACCAGGGAGCCAAGAACACCTCTTCAACAAGTGGTGCTGGGAAAACTGGATAACACATGCTAAGAAAACAAAATTGGACCCCCATCTTACACCACAAAAATCAACTCCACATAGATCAGGGACCTAAGATCTGATGCCAGAAAACTCCTAGAAGAAAACATAGAAAAGAGATCCTTGGCATTGGTCTGGACAATGCTTTTTATAATAGGACACCAAACGCACAAACAAAAACGTAAAACAATAAATAAAAGTACATCAAACTTAAAAGCTTTGGTACAGCAAGAGAAACAACCAACAAATGAAAAGGTAACCTATAGCTTGGCCAGTGTGGCTCAACGGTTGAGCATTGGCCTATGAACCAAGAGGTCACAGTTCAATTCCTGGTCAGGGTACATGCCTAGGTTGCAGGTTCGATCCCAGTGGGGGGGCCTGCGGGAGGCAGCTGATCAATGATTATCATCATGGATGTTTCTATTTCTCTCTCGCTCTCCTTTCCTCTCTGAAGTCAATAAAAAATACTTGTAATAAAGAAAAGGTAAGTTATAGAATGGGAGAAAAAATTTTCAGATCATAAATTGAATAAGGGTTAATATTCAAAATATATAAGGTACTTAGATAACTCAATAACAACAACAAAAAAAACCCGATCCAATTTAAAAGTGGACAGAGAAACAAAAATAGGAAATTTTCCAAAGAAGACATTTATATGGCCAACAGTTATATGAACAGATGCTCAACATCAGTAATCATCAGGAAATACAAATCAAAACCACAATGAGATATCACCTCATTCTGGTTAGAATGGCTATTATAAAATAGAGAAGAGATAAGTGTTGGTGAGGATGTGGAGAAATGGGAACCCTGTACACTGTTGATGGGAATAAAATTGTTTTTAGCCGCTGTGGAAAATAATATGGAGGTTTGTAAAAAAATTAAAAATAGATTTACCATATGATCCAGCAATTTTATGACTGGGCATATACGCAACAGAAATGAAAACAGGATATCTAAAAGATATATGCATTCACATGTTAACAGCCATCATATGAAAACAACCTGAATAGCAAAAGAAACAATCAACAAATGACCTCTTTTCTATGTCTTCTTCTAGGAGTGCCTACCAACAGATGAATGAATAAAGAAAATGATTATATACCCACACAATGAAATATTATTTATCTAATATATAGACACAAACATAGTCAAAGAAAATAAGAAACAAAGGAATATGTTCCAAAAGAAAGAACAAAATAAAACTTAAGAGAACGTCCTTCATGAAATGAGAATATGTGATTTACCTGATAAAGAGTTCAAGATAATGGTCATAAAGATGCTCACTGAATTCAGAAGAATGGATAAACACAGAACATCAACAAAGATATATAAAATATAAAAAAGTACAAAATGGAAGTCACAGGGCTAAAGAATACAGTAATTAAAAGGGAAAGCACACTAAAAGGGTTCAACAATAGACTAGATGAAGCAGAAGAAAGGACCAGTGAGATCAAAGATAAGGCAGTGGAGCTTATACAATTAGAGAAGGGAAAAAAAAGCAATAAAAAAGTTAAGATAGCTTAAGGGACTTATGGGATAGCATCAAGCCAATAAACATTCCCATTCTAGGGGTATCAAAAGAAGAAAAAGAGAAAGGGGCAGAAAAGTTATTCAATTTCTGGTCAGGGCACATACCTAGGTTGTGGGTTTGATCCCCAGTCGAGGTGCATATAGGAGGCAACTGATGTTTCTCTCTCACATCAATGTTTCTCTCTCTTCCTCTCTCTAAAATCAATAAAAACATATCCTTGAATGAGGATTTAAAAAAATACTCATACAACCCAGAGCAATCTATAGATTCAGTGCAATCCCTACTAAAATTCCAATGACATTTTTTTATAGCAATAGAAAAATATTGGTCCCAATATCATTGGACCAGGGCCAGGGATTGAGCCTGCAACTGAGCTATGTGCCCTTGACCGGAATCAAACCCAGGACCCTTCAGTCCGTGGGCTGACGCTCTATCCACTGAACCAAACTGGTGCCCATGGTCTGCAAACTGCGGCTCGCAAGCCACATGCGGCTTTTTGGCCCCTTGAGTGTGACGGGCGCACGTACAGTGCGATTGAAACTTCGTGGCCCATGCGCAGAAGTCGGTTTTCGGCCTGGGCGAGTCTATTTTGAAGAAGTACTGTTGATATTTGGCTCTGTTGACCAATGAGTTTGCCAACCACTGGGCTAGGGCAATCCTATTTAATTTTAAAATTGAGGTTTTTAATTTACATACAGTTGGGACAAAAATCTAAAGAGTACAGCTTTGTGATTTTTAGCCAGTGTTTATAATCGCCATGTAATCACTACCAGATCAAGATACAGAATATCTTCAGCACCCCCGGAGGCTCCCTTGGGCCTGCACGGTTAATATTCACCCCTCTCCAAGGGTGAGCACTTTCCCTGCGTCTACCAGCATACACTGTGTTAGCTGGTTCTGAGCTTCATAGAAATGAATTCACTCAACATGGACTCTTGTGCTTGGTGTCTATCCAACATTAGTCTGTGAGATCTGTCCTTGCCGTGTGTAGCAGTAGTTTGCCCTTTTTGTTGCAGTATACTATTCCATTGTACGAATATACCACGATTTATCCATTCTGTTGTTGATGGAAACTTGGGTTTTCAATTTGACTGTTATGAAAAACATAACAGTGTTTTTGTGCCTAGGCCCTGCGTCGCAGAAAAGGTGGCAAGTGGGGTATCACAGGCCTCGGTGACAATTGCTCTGCTAAGGCCATGAGCAATCTACAACTTGATTTAGTGCTTTGGAACAAGCCAAAACCTCAGATGCAATTTAACATTGATAACTGCAGCACAATAGATGTTTTCATATTGATTCCCAAACCAAGGGAAATGTCTTCAAAAGCTCTGCAAAAGTCGGGAGTCTTAAAATGTGGACTATTCCTGTATTAACACAATGAAATGTCTTGAAGTATATGCTATTACTATTACTTATGACTTTCAACAAACCTACATGTAACTTTTTTCTCTTTATTTACTTTTTCTCCAGTGTTAGGAAGGATTTTTGCTATTTGAAGGAGTGGATTATGAGGGCAGTGACAGCAACAAAGACAGTGATAACAACTCGGGGGGTTTGCATTGGAATCTACCTCAGGATCCTAGAGAGGAGCTGACTCAGCAGAGTGGAAAAAGCAGGTACTAGAATCAGACCTATCTCTCTGCACGGGCATTAAGGGTAGGGTCCCAACTGAGTAGTCTCTCTAGCTTTAATGCTTGGCACATGGTGGGCGTTCAATAAATGCTTGTTGAATGAGTGGTTCAAACATCAAATACTATTTTTTCTCAGGTTATGAATTTCTAAAATTAGAAACTAATTACTTGAAAGATGGCATACTTTTTGTTTTTTTACTTTTCATTGAAATAATTCTCAACATACAGAAAAGTTGCAAATATTGAGAATTTTGACATATTTATATTCACGAGGACTTTACATTTTGCTACATTTTCTCTTTTGCAAAAAGACTATTTTAGAGCAGTTTTAGATTTATAACGAAACTAGAGGCCCGGTGCACAACATTCGTGCACTGGGGGAGTGGGGGAGGGGGGGTGGCCCTCATCCTGGCCTTCAATATTGGGTTGGCTATTTTGGGTCTTTTGCCTCTCCATATAAACTTTACAATTAGTTTATTGCCATCCACAAAATTACTTGCTGGGATTTTAATTGAATTGCATTGAATCTATAGATCAAGTTGAGAAGACTGACATCTTGACAATATTGACCATACCTGCTTGTTAATGAACATGGAATTTACATTTGTTTAGTTCTTCTTTGATTTTATTCATTGAAATTTTGTAGTTTTCCTTAAAAAAAATCTTGTACATATTTTGTTAGATTTATATCTAAATGTTTCATTTTTTTGGAAGCCAATGTAAATGGATTGTATTTTAAATTTCAAATATCACTTGTTCATTATTGGTATATAGGAAAGCAATTGACTTTTGTATATTAACCTTGTATTCTACAACCTTGCTACAATTGCTTATTAGTACCAGGAGTTTTGGGTTGATTTTTTTTCTCCATAGACAATCACATCATTTGTAACTAAGGATAGTTTTACGTCTTCCTTCTTAACCTATACACCTTTCATTTCCTTTTCTTGACTTATTGCATTAGCAAGGCCCTCCAGTATGGTGCTGAAAAGTAGTGGTGAGAAGGGACATTCTTGCCTTGTACCTGTTCTTAGTGAGAAAGCTTTGAGGTTCTTGCCATTAAATATGATGTTAGCTATAGGTTTGTTGTAAATAATTTTTTAAAAAAATATTTTATTGATTTTTTACAGAGAGGGATAGAGAGTTAGAAACATCGATGAGAGAGAAACATTGATCAGCTGCCTCCTGCACACTCCCTACTGGGAATGTGCCTGCAACCAAGGTACATGCCCTTGACCGGAATCGAACCGGGGACCCTTCAGTCCGCAGGCGGACGCTCTATCCACTGACCCAAACCGGTTAGGGCTGGTGTAAATAATTTTTATCAAGTTGAGGAAGTTCCCCTTTATTCCTAGTCTGCTAAGTTTTTGTCATGAATGGGTGTTGGTTTTTGTCAAAAGTTTTTTCTACATCTAGTCATATGACTTTTCTTCTCTGGCCTTTATTTAAAAAAATTTGATTTTAGAGAGAGGAAGGTTGCCTCCCACATGCACCCCAACCTGGGGCCGGGGATCAAGCCTGCAACCAGGGTACATGTCCTTGACTGGAATTAAACCTGGGATCCTTCAGTCCATGGGCTGATGCTCTAGCCACTGAGCCAAACCGGCTTGGGCCTGAGGCTCATTTATATGTCTTCATATGCCAACGCCCATCATTTAATTAATGGACATCTCTGATGCCAATTCCTTTGTTGACTTTCTCAGTATCTTCTGCAGACATCGCATGGCTCCGACACACAGAGTGTGCTGTCTTCCTCCTGCTGGGATAGCAACAATCGTATCTGCGGCAGCAGCGGGGTCAAGTTTAGCTCTAGGTGAAGTTAAGCTTGGACACATGATATTTGCTCCACCGAGTACAAATTTGATGGCTCCTTTTCAACCTGCTAGTGTGGCACCATAAAGGGATATTTGTAAGCCATCTTAGGGTTGGATAAAAAGGCCCTTCTCTTTGTCTAAAAAATAGTAGCTCTCTATTTACTATAAGGATTTCTATATGTTTATGGCATCGCACTATTTTGACAGGATCCTTCTTAGGCATGATTTGATTAAGCTATGGTTCAATAACTGGAAATTGTTCTATTAGTTGGTTCTTAATACCCTTTAAAACTGATGTTTTCAACTGGATGCAATTGGACACATTGGCTTTTTCTTCACATTTCTTGAACATGATCCAAGGTGAAGGGGGCAGTGATAGGGAAGGACCAGAATGGGGAAAAATTGAATTAGCAAGGGTCCAGGAGATCCCCTGACATGAGGAAGGCCGGCACTGACAGTCGGCGCTGTTGTTCTTCTCAAACGGCTTTTAGAAGCCAAGATTTGGGTGTCAGGTGTACTCATATATATTAGGAGGGTTACTGCACCTAAGTTCTCTCAGTGAAAAGTACTAGGGAATATACCCAAGAACTACTGAATAAGAGTTTGCATTTTTTTAAAAATATATTTTTATTGATTTCAAAGAGGAAGGGAAAGGGGGAGAGAGATAGAAACATCAGTGATGAGATGGAATCACTGATGGGCTGCTTCCTGCATGGGGGGATCAAGCTCACAACCCCAGCATGTGCCTGTGACTGGAATCGAACCCAGGACCCTTCAGTCCGAAGGCCGATGCTCTATCCACTGAGCCAAACCGAATAGGGCCAGAGTTTTCATTTTTAACAAAATTCCCAGGTGATTCATATGCACATTACAGTTGGAGAAGCATTCCCACCTAAAGTAAATGACTTCAGTGTCCAAGCCAGCTGTTGGAGCACCAGCCATTGCATCTGCATCTCAGGCATTAGGAAGGAGGAAGGAGACAAAAGGACTCACCTCCCTGTTGAGTCAGCTTCCATTAATCCCAAAAGACTCTAGCAACAATTCTGCAAAATCTCATTGCTTACAGTTTAGTCACATGGCTGACGAAGGCCAGGGAAGCAGGGAAATGTAGCCTTTCGGTTGGGCCCATCGCCAGCTGGAATACAATTTGCATTCTGTTTCTAAGCACAGAGGGAACGATGGCTATTGGGTTTCCTTGGTCATTCTGTGTCCACTCTGCATGCCGGGAAGTGGTTGGCAACAGAGCCAGCACTGGGCACAGCTGCCAATCACCCACATGTGGCCAGCAGGAGGGTCACCGTGGTCAACCGAGAATTGAAGCACAAAAGTAAAATCTGCCTCTTATGTAGCCTCTGTTACCATCATGCCCGCCCACCCCACCTTCTGCCTGGACCCAGACTGGAGCGAGAGGGCCAGAATTCATGGAGCAACAAGATAGAAGAGAAAGTGTGGAAGGCACAGTTAAAAACAACCGCTCAGCTGGCAGAGACTAGACACAGACTTCCCAGGTTTCAACCCTAGTGCCATCACTTACTGGCTTTGGATTTTCAGTTAATGACGGCCACTTGAACTTTCAGTAAGTTAACCTACTGATGAAAGGCCTCGCGAGACCTTAATGTCTTCATGTTTAAGTACAGGGCTACCTCCCAGGCTGCTGTGAAGATGTAATGGAAATAACAGGAGAAGCTCTTGGAGCACTGGCCCATCCAGAGCTCTCCATACACCGTGGTTCTTATCACTGAGCAGAGCTGCCAAGAGCAAAGGTACAACCTCCCTGGAGATGGCTGCAACCCTGACCGTGGACTCGGGCCCAGAGAAGCACAAGAAGCACAGAAACTACCAACTTGGAAGCATCATTGATTTACTTAGTACTTTCAGCCCAATATTCCCACCAGTTTAGAGAAGATTGCAACTAGCTTTGTTTACTGTTCAACACCCTTGTGACAAATACCCAGGATTTGTCTTCTGTTGCTTTGTGGGACAGTGTCTTCTCTTTCCCCGAGTTTGGTTTCCCTTCTTGACTACTTGAAATACTTCCAACACATTTTTAAAAACAATACTTAAAAAAAGAAAAACAAACCCAAAAAGCCAACGTGCTAGTGACAGCATTTGCCCCTTCCTCTCTACAATAAAGCCGGCAGCCACCACTGTCCCTGTACAAGGACTGAGCAAACCTTGGCAAGTCCACATCCGTCACTGGATACACTAAAGGCCACACTATCATTTTCTTAGACAAACATCCTGGGCAATTTGGCTTCTTTTACTTTGCCATGAATACAACCGGTTTGCTGAGTACCTTAGGGGACCTTGAAAGACTAGTTCTTGTTATTTTAACCTCCTCACTGGCTTATCATCCTGGTTTATAATTCTAACACATTTGCCAACGGCTTCCAGGTACCACTGAAAGAAACACCTAGGATAAACAAAGAGCATTTTTTCTTCCTGAGATCCATATCTCCTTGACATGATGGGAAAGGTTTAAGGAATGCCAAGGAGCACGTGAGCGTGTGTCTTTGTGCCTGTTTATGCGAAACTAGGACTAAATGTTCCGTGCAGCAACACTACCTTAGCTCCTTCTGCCACTTCCCAGTTTGGCTGAGGCTGTTGGAACTAATCCTTCTGCCCTTTAAACCTCTGATTTAAGGTAAAATGACACCTGGTTGGCTACTTCAGGGACCAGGGAAGTGAGTGAGAAGAGTAACAGTGCCCCCTGCAGGTGTGTGCCGATGGCAGTGAATTTGACCATCTCAAGGACCTTCTGAGCAGCAGGATGGTGTCCCCTGGTGTCTGGCCTGATGGTATATGCAAACTGGTGATTAATGGTGAATATAAGCCTGATGCTTATTGCCAATATCTCACGAAGGTCAGAGACCAGACCCTCCATGTTATCTCTGCAGTGGCCTGTGGGAGCTACAGCTGGGTCTGTTCAGCTGGTTTTCCCATTTCTCTTTTTCTGCTACCGGGACCCCTTTTCCTTCAGGAAATTTCTCCTCCACTCCAGGTGAATCTAGTGGGTTTGACAAGCCACAGTATTTGATCCTGTCTTTAGAGGCGAGATTATGGTCCAACCAGGTCAATCTTAGTGCTGGATCCTTGTTGAGCAAGCTAGAAAGCCGGAGGTCATCCTGGATACCAACCTCTCCCTTACCTACCATATCCAGGCTGTCAAGGGCTCCCAGTGAACTCCTAGATTTCCTTCCTGTCCGTCTCTCCTATCACTCTCATCCCCGCTGCTATCATCTGTCCCCTGAACAACTGTATACTAGGTGTACCGGTTAATAATGCGGATTTGTTTCAATAGATGGAGTTACACATATGTTGATATATATGCGATTTGATATGTATGCTATTTTGTTGTATTGACAGCAAGCTTCAAAACTTCATATGTCAAATTTTCTGAAGGTGTTAACATCATAGATATTTTTATGCTTAAAAATGTTGAATTTTGTGCTAAAAAAAAGAGCATTTGTGGGAAGTTTTAATTCATTACTTTATTTTGAAGAAAAGTGCTGCTGAAAGTTATCGTATGCTTCAGGAAGCTTATGGTGAACATGCTCCATCTCAAGATACTTGTGAACGCTGGTTTCAACGCTTTAAAAGTAATGAGTTCTATGTGAAAGACAGAACGTCCAGGTCAACCAAAAAAGTTTGAAGACCAACAATTACAAGCATTATTGGATGAAGATGCGTGTCAAACTCAAAAACAACTTGCAGAAAGATTAAATGTTGCTCAGCAAATGATTCTGATCATTTACAAGCAATGGGAAAGATTTGAAAGGAAAATGGGTGTCACATCAACTGAACGAAAGACAAATGGAAAACCGAAGTCATCAGTAAAATGTTGCTTCAGTGGCACGAAAGAAAGTCTTGTTTGCATCGAATTGTGACACGATGAAAAGTGAATTTATTTTGAGAATCCCAAATGCACAAAATCATGGGTTGATCCAGGTCAACCATCAACATCGACTGCAAGGCCAAATCACTTCGGGAAGAAGACAATGCTCTGCTTTGGTGGGATCAGGAAGGTGTAGTGTATTCTGAGCTTCTAAAACCAGGTGAAAACATTAGTACTGATCGCTTCCAAAAGTAATCAATTTGAACCACGCTTTGATTGTAAAACCACTAGAATGGGCCAGAAGACATGGCAAAGTAATTTTGTTTCATGATGACGCACCATCACACACTTCAAAACCAGTTAAAGACATGTTAAAAGATCTTGCCTGGGAAGTATTAACCCACCCGCCATATTCACCAGACCACATCCTCATCAACATTTATTAACATCAACTGAAAACGGCAGTGAAGGATGCCAAATGAGTGATACAGCTGAATCCTTTCATGGTGGTACCCC